ATAAATCTTTTGTTTTAACTTTCCCAATACAGTGCCATTGCTCATGTACCTCTTACGTTTCATAATGGAATGAGGAACCTTTAGAGCTGCAGTTATAGAGAGGTACGTAAAAACAGCACACCGCTCTTACCGCTCTTAATTGTGTGCCACCCCCACGTGAGAGAGAACATAATGATCAGTTTGTGTCCATTTTGTTCCCCAGCGGTGGCTTAAGTGAGCATGATTTAGGATGTTTTGCTGCTTTTGCCATTTCGGTGTATGTTTGAATAAAAGGGAAAGTTTGAAAGGGGACACAAAGTCAGGGAAGAAAGAAGGCCTAGAATTAAAGAGGGAGGAAAAGAAGCGTGAGTACCTGGATAGCTGCGAGTACCGTAGTAGCCGATTGCAGCTCGGAAGACCTGATTGTAGATTTGCAGGAAACGTGCTGCTGGTGGAGGCCGTCTCTGAGGAAGTAAGAGAAGACCACTAGGGCTGTGTCTAATGTAACCCTAAGGCCTCTCCATCCCTTCTGCTGATTATGACTAGCAGCTAATTTGGATCGGATTTGTACTGTGGGGAAGAAGCCTGGAGAGAAACGTGGGGTGCCAGTGTGATAGTGGTGGCTGAGTGAGGGGCCTTGCTGTCTCTGTACATCAGGCCAAACCACAAGGCCACGGCTGGGGCTGCCTCTTTTGCCACAGGTACTTAGTCTAGTATCCTGCGTAGTCCAGAGTTTTATTGAAGGGTACATAAAAAAATCATACAAATAAACATGTTCTGAAGAATATATTCATCAGTACAATCTAATTTAAATCTCCAGAGAGTTGGTAATTTTGCTTTTTATGGACAAGTCTTTTCATTGAACTATTTCTATTTCTATTACTGTGTTTTAAATGTTAATTTATTCTTCAAATGTCTTCTTCCTTACTTTCACCACAGAATGTTTTCAGATATGTATATTTCTACCAGTGTGGCTCTCAGGTTGTCTCTAATGTGTCAGAGGCTGTAGTACTGTATTTTCTTAACTGGATGTAATAAACGAGATACGACGATAAATGGGACCTAAGGATATTTCTCATGAGGAATACTTTTGTTTGTCTTAACCTGTTTTATTGGGTTTAACTAGAATATAGAATGAAAAACAATCTTAATATGACTTCTCTGTTTTCTTAGCATATTTTGTTCTTAATTTGGCTCTACTTATTAGAACTCCTCCAAGATTTCCTATAATCATTACATTAAAAGCCTTGTTTATCAATTGAAATGCATCTTTTGTAACTACATTTATTATTATTTTTTGACTTTACCTTTTACCTTCTTAAAAGCAATGAATGCATTACTCTTGCCAAGAAAATGGGAAGATCCCAGGAGGACTTATTGCTCTCCTTTTTCCCTGGAGAGAGCTAATCTCAAGTTTACTCTTTGTTTATTAATAATTGGATTGAAATACATTTAGTCTCATATTTACTCTTTTAAAGAATATGTAATCATTACCATCATTACTAGTTTTATTTATTTTCCCTCAATCCTTTTAAAGTTACAAGGAAATAATAGTGCATTTTAACATTGATAGATACCATAATTTTGGATTTTATTTTATTGTAGCATTTACATTAACTGCAAATCTTAGCTTTAAAAAAAAGCCACACATAGGTTAGGCTCATGCCTGTAATTCCAGCACTTTGGGAGGCCGAGGAGTTCAACACCAGCCTGGGCAACATAGCAAGACTTCATCATTACAAAAGAAGGATAAAAAATGAACCAGGTTATTTTGGAGCTGTAAGATTTAATGGCTGCCCTGCTGGGTTCTGAAGTTGCATGAGTTCTGTAGCCCCTTTCTTTTTGCCAATTTCTTCAATTAAACCTCTTTTCTTATAAATTAATAAAGTAAATAAATAAAATAAAAATTAACTGAGCATGATAGCACATGCCTGTGGTTCCACCTGCTTGAGAGGCTGAGGAAGGAGGATTGTTTGAGCTCAGGAATTCAAGGCTACAGTGAGCTATAATAATACCACTGCACTCCAGCCTGGGTGACAGAGTGACACCTTGTTTCAACAACAACAAAAACAACAACAAAAGCCACACATAGCCTCTTCTGTATCCAATTGTAAGTGAAAGTTCTTAAAATCTTCAATGTATTATTTTAAATTTTTTCCATAGTAACAACACTCCAGTGTTGTAAGATGTTTCAGATTGTATCTGTTTTGTGCGGTGGTTCTCAAACTTCAGGGTGCATCGGAATAACTCATTTATTAAGGCTGGGTGGGACTCAACTGCATTTGAACAAGTTCCCGGCTTTCTGATGCTGCTCGTCTGCAGTCGCACTTCAGGAATGACTGTGTTGTCATATTTGATTCTTACAAGAACCCAGTGAGATCTTGGGCAGATACAGATAAGGAAAATGAGGCTTGAAGACATTCGTGATTTTTTCCAGCAGCACATCATGAATGAATGGTTGAACAGATAGCAGAACTCATGAAGACCTTTCTGGTTTTCTCCTGTTCATGGCGAGAGTTCAGTTCCCAAACGACATCTCTCTGATTTCAAGTATGTTTGATCTTTTTGTCTTATTCTTTTCAGAGCTATTCATATGTTTGGATACACACCCCTAATATTCGCATTTATTTATAATATATGCTTAAAATTTTCTTGTCTTTCAGTTATGTGACTAATTTTTGTGCCTAGAGATGTTCTAAAAATGCAGTGTCTTTCTGTAGAAACAAACCCTTACATAACTTAAGGCCACCCAAGGTTAATCATGAGGAAAAATGTTGAGTTTTTTACCCACTAGCCTAGTCTTCTGGCATTTTTCACTCTGGCTTGTGGTGATGGTTCTAGGCAGGACCATTATTTGTGGGTCCAACAAATGAGGAATGATCCAAGACAAATAATCTCAAAACCACATCACCAGACCCTAGCAGAAGGGCCCTGTACTGATTTCAAGGATGTTTTTATATTTTGCTGCTTCCATGGAGAACTGATAGTTGGTTTTTAGTTGGTACCAAAGCATTGAAACTCCTGCGTGTAAGACAGTGACACACAGAATGAACCGCGAGGTTCGTTTTCTCCGTCTCCCCCCTCAGTTTCTCTCTGAATTACCTTCGGGTATTCAGTATGTGGAGCGTGTGGACTAGTGTCTTGAACCCAGTGTCAGCCAGCCATCAGGATTTTCCTGTTGAATATTGCGTGGTAAGCTTTGCTAGTATAGTGAGGAAATGCTGTATGCTTTTCTGATACTGGCTTTTCTAGTTCCTGCTTCTTATTTTCTCTTGCTTTCTTTCTTCTGTTCTACTTTGATTTTGGGGCTCCTAAAATACCTTAATCCAAAATAGAAATAGGGAGGGAAAAATAATAGCTGGAGAACAAGTTAAAAGTCTTGACCTCGACTATCTTCTCTTATTTAGTAGTGTTGGCTTTTTGTGTGTGAGCTGGGGAGGGGGACAAATAAAATCATGATTTTAAAAAATTTAATTGAGTAGTAATTTAAATCAGTGTGCTTCAGCGACTCCCCCACTTCCTATGCTTCCTTTTTTTCTTTTTTTTTTTTTTTTGAGACAGAGTCTCACTCTGTCACCAGGCTGGAGTACAGTGGTATTATCTCAGCCCACTGCAACCTCCGCCTACCGGGTTCAAGTGATTCTCCTGCCTCAGCCTCCCGAGTAGCTGGGACTACAGGTGCCTGCCACCATGCCTGGCTAATTTTTGTATTCTTAATAGAGATGGGGTTTCACCATATTGGCCAGATTGGTCTTGAACTCCTCACCTTGTGGTCCGCCCTCCTTGGGCTCCCAGAATGTTGGGATTACAGGTGTGAGCCACTGCGCCTGGCCTCCTATGCTTTCTAATGCTGAAATAAAACTCTCAGTATATGCTACGGTCTGTGTGTGGTGCTTTATATGCACTATTTTACTTAATCCTTTGTTAAGTGGTATTATTTTGAGGAAACAGATTGAGAGCGATTATGTCACATGGCCAAGGTCTGACACTTAGTAAGTGATAGACTTGGGTCTTAAATACTAGTCTTTTGGACTTTGGCATTTAGGGATGACTAGCCTGTATTACCTTTCCTTCGAGATCCTTCCTCAGGTAGGAGGTGAATTTAATAATTTGGATTTCTTGAAATAAATTAGACTCCACAAAAACAGAATCCTGACTTTAAAACTGGGCTCCGTATTTCCCCTTGTTTGTTACTGTGCCAGTTCCCTTAAACATGTGCTTGAAAAGAGAAATTTACATGCTGCTTTTAGAGACGCATGTGTCTCCTAAGCACATACAACTGACAGTATTTTGCCTTTGCTGTGCTTGGAAGTTTTTATTTTAGTTATTTGGGCTTTAAAAGCAGCATATGATGGAGTTTCAATTTGTCTTAAAACCACAGAGTGCTACCATGATACGTACATCAATAAACTGTAGAGTGTCTCTTTCTTTATTTTGCCCATGGAGATGTCTGACAGCTTTCAGAAAAAAAGGCAGCCACCTAAGTGACTAATATCACCCATTTAGAGGGAGATAGTTGAGAATTTCTCCCAGAGTATATCCATTAAAAATCACTTCTTTAGCCTCTCCTGTGTCTTTAAAAGCTTTTCATCTTTCCTGTTTTGTCTTACATGTCCCTTCTTGTTACAGGAGTATGTATTTTAATAACAAATTTAATACAGTATTCAGTCTTAGAACCAGTTAATGTTAGCTGTATAGCAAAAACACACATACGTTCATCCAGTCAGTCATGCTCCAATGTGGAATAGCCGTTACCCACGCTTGCGTTGCTCCCTTGCTCCCCGAGTAGCTTTGAGAAATGTCATTTCTGTGAGTCTCAGCTTCCTTATCTCTAAAAAGCTGATGATAGCGTCTCTTTAGATATTTGTATGAGTTGGGTGAAATAGTGTGCATTGTAGAGGAAACCACACCATAGTGGGGTGGGGGGGAGGACGTGGCAGTGAGGTGCCTTTCTCTTTAAGAACTTAGAAGTTTGCCTTCTGGAAAACATGGGGTTATAAAATCGAAACCCCATGGCCAGTTCGTGCTTCAGCAGCACGTATACTAAAAAATTAGAATGAGACAGAGAAGATTAGTATGGCTCCTGTACAAGGGTGACATGCAAATTTGTGAAACACTTCATATTTTTAACATAAATGGCTAAAGAAGCATACAGACCTTTTTTTTTTTTTTTTTTTTTTTTTTTTTTTTTTTGAGACAGGGTCGCGCTCTGTCACCCAGGCTGGAGTGCAGTGGCGCAATCTTGGCTCACTGCAGCTTTTGCCCCACAGGCTCCAGTGATCCTCCTCACTAGCCTCCCGAGTAGCTGGGACCACAAATGTGCACGACCATGCCTGGCTCTTTTCTGTGTTTTTAGTAGAGATGGGATCTCAGCATGTTGCCCAGGCTGGTCTCAAACTCCTGAGTTCAAGCCATCCACCCACCTTGGCCTCCCAAAGTGTTGGGATTACAAGCATGAGCCACCACGCCTGGCCACAGACCTCTTAAAGAAACACATTATGGGCAGGCTTATCGTCGAGCGCTTAACATAGATATTTGAAAAAAAAAATGTCAACCACAAATGTTAGTAACTTGTAGCACTTCTAAAAAGCAAACTTATTACAAAGCTTCTGTTTGGGATGACAAAAATCTTTTGGAAATAGTGGTAGTGGTTACACAACGTTTTGAATTTAATGCCATTGAAGTGTACACTTAGAATGGTTAAAGTGAAAATTTTATGTTATATGAATTTTTTTTAAAAGTCAGTAAAGTGAATATTCACAGGGCTCCATGAGGCATTATTTAGGCCAGAGAAAGCTAGAACTAGGACCATACTGCACAGATCCTGTGGCGAGGAGATCCTCTTTTCAGAGGCCAGTCTGGATTCTGATCGCTCACGTTCACTGCTGTATTTCTAGCTCTAGGCCAGGACGTGCTGGATGAATGAATAGTCTGTTGTGCTTCACGGTTTATGCAACTTGTTGCTCTTGCTGTGGTGCCAGACACAACAATATTCTGATTATAGTTTGACTTCCTATGCAGGGAGAAAACATGAAGGTCAGAGGCTCAGTGTCCGGTCCTTTCACCCATTCGTTTTTTTATTGTAAATTAATAAATCAATATTTATTATACATTCTTAAAAATCCCCAAACAAGTTCAAGCCTTACAACTTGACACCAAGAGGTCTACTAGATACTTTTTATCAAGACCGCCCTCAGTGCATGTGAGGAATGTGAACCACCAAGGCTCCTGAGACCACAATGAAGAGAGCTGTTCTCAGGGGGACTTGCTAGTAATATTTCCATCAACAAGTGCTCACATGAAACGAGTGCTTCGAAATGGGTTTCTTGTACTTCGCGTCGTCATTATCTCCAAGGAATGGGTTCCATTACTGTGGGGCTGGTTGTTTGCTTGTTTGTTTAATTCATAGTTTCCTATTCAAACAATGACTTGTCAATCACATTCGTTTCAAAAAAGATGAATAAAAATTTACTGGTCTCTTTAGGGCTTCAGTCTTGCTTAGAAATGAACTGAATCCGGAAATATTTTAATTAAGAAATGTAAAAGTTTCAAAGCTTGTAGTTTTAAGATGTGCTTGTTTTTTCACAGTGGAGCTACTGAAAAATCCCTCAGCTACTTTGCTTTACCATTGTGTTTTCTGCAATGATCCTCTCGAGCATTTTAAAAGAAAAAAATTGTGCCAAATTAGTTTTAAAAATTATTCCTTGTGTTCTGTTCTCTTCATGGCTATGTCTTGTGTTTCTTTACCTGAACACAGCACATAAGAACCTCACAGTTTTCTCAGAGTGCTTTTGAGTCCTCATTTGATACCTTTTCCACTCTTCATTCCCATTTGTTTCTCCTTTTTTTTTTTTGTTCGAGATGGAGTCTTGCTCTGTCGCCCAGGCGGGAGTGCAGTGGCACGATCTTGGCTCACTGCACGCTCCACCTCCCATGTTCATGTCATTCTCCTGCTTCAATCTCCCGAGTAGCTGGGACTACAGGTGCCTGCCACCATGTCCGGCTAATTTTTTGTATTTTTGGTAGAGACGGGGTTTCACCGTGTTAGCCAGGATGGTCTCGATCTCCTGACCTCGTGATCCACCCATCTCGGCCTCCCAAAGTGCTGGGATGACAGGCGTGAGCCACCTTGTGTCTCCTTTCTTCAACGCAGATCTTTTGACCGGAGCTATGGAACTGGGGTCGGAGTTGAGCTCGATTACCCACCTATTTAGCGCGTCACACCTACTTTGTATGTTTGTGTAGCAGACGTTTCTTCTCCTGTGTTTCCTCATTTTACGTTTCTTCAGTCACAATGAGAAGTTCCGTGAGACCTCTTGCATAATGACTCTAAGGGGCTTTAGAAACGTTCTCCTGTGAGGTAACCATGCCTGTGATGTGGAGAGAGGGTGAGACTGGGAAGCAGAAGACCGGAATTTCATACGACCTTTCCCACCACTCAGCTGAGGAGCCGCTGTTGCGAACCTCCTGCCCTGGTGGGATTATGGTACGTATTCAGAGGGGTCGTTTGGAGAGGAGAAGCGCTGTCCACACGGACGGTGCTGGACTCTCACAGGCCGAGTTTTCATTGTCTCTTGGTTTTGGGGCTGGTATGAAATGAACTTGGGTCTTCTTCTGAAGGCTTTCAGAAAGTTAGCAATTAAGAATTTTAAATTCTGTTTTTTAAACTCACCCACCATGCTGTTCTCTAGTTTCAGAGTACTTGTACGTGGCAAGAGACTGTGAGGACAGGTTGTGAGAGACTTTGAAATGATTAAAAAAAAAAAACCACGAAACAAAAACTCTGTCTCTCTAGCTCAACCATCACATTAGCTCTGCCTCTCACTGTCTCTGAGCTGTACTAGAATTGTGCATGCTATAAAAAATAGACCGTAAAGCACCTGGTTCTGGTCCGTACAATGCCAGTTGTGTTTGGAGAATGCAATAGATTATGGTCCTATGCGTATTGACTAGTTTTGCAAATTTTACATCTTGCTGGCATTTCTGAAGCTTATCTATTTGTTTCTTCTTTGAATTCTTTTCAAAATCAGACTTAGCATCTTACTGGTTCCCTAATTAGTGAGTTAAATCTTTCATATGTGTTTATTAATTTTGAGAATCATTATTTTACTTTACAGAAAATTATTTCTTAACAATACAGTAAAAAAAACCCCACAATCCTGGGAATTCTGGGAATTATTTGTGTTACTTTGAGCAAAGTACTGAGCTCTGGTTTTCCTCATTTAAAAAAAAATAGTGAGGTTTGGCTGGGCGCAGTGGCTCATGCCGGTAATCCCAGCACTTTGGGAGGCCGAGGTGGGTGGATCATGAGTTCAAGAGATTGAGACCATCCTGGCCAACATGGTGAAACCCCGTCTCTACTAAAAAAAAATTACAAAAATAAGCTGGGCGTGGTGGCACACTCCTGTAATCCTAGCTACTCAGGAGGCTGAGGCAGGAGAATCGCTTGAACCCGGGAGGCAGAGGTTGCAGTGAGCTGAGATCGCACCACTGCACTCCAGCCTGGGTGACAGAGTGAGACTCTGTCTCAGAAAAAAAAAAAAAATAATAATAAAATAAAAAATAGCGAGGTTTGACCGAGACAAACCTCTAGTCTGTGATTCTATGGTTTTATGATTCTATGATTCTACAATTTAATATTCTCTAAGCCCAAGGTCCACGGTCCTATGTTTGTTAATATTTAGGTGAAATGGCATAAAATCAAGGAACTAAAGTATCTTATGTATGTAAAAATTGCATAAGTTCTTTTTGGTATATGTAGCACACGTGTGCACATAGATTACTATTATACAAGATACTTTGGTGTTTGTAATTCTTAAAAAGGAATTACCAATGTGGCAAAACCCTGTCTCTACTGAAAGTACAAAAGTTAGCTGGGCCTGGTGACAGGCGCCTGTAATCCCAGCTACTCAGGAGGATGAGGCAGGAGCACCGCTTAAACCCGAGAGGCGGAGATCGCAGTGAGCCAAGATCGCGCCATTGCACTCCAGCCTGGGGGATAGAGCGAGACTCTGTCTCCAGAAAAAAAAAAGGAATTATATTGCTTGAATTGCTATTGACGGTTTTCAGTAGTAAGTAAAAGAAGGGTGAGCATTCTCCAGGCAACTTTTTAGATAAGAAGAAAAATTTATTTGCCTTTAAAAATTCTTGGCATATAACACCATTAGTGCTTATAGAAAATGATGGCTGTTATTGAAGTCTGTGACTTTTTAAAACCATTATTAAGTTCAAAAAGCATTTCTAAAACATCCAGCCTTACAGAGCATTGCATTAGGAAATGTAAGAAACAAATGGAAACTTTTATCCCTGTTGTTTGGGTAGTCACTAGTAAGCATTAATATGGTAGTATGTCTGAGTGACCCCAGGCTACCATAAGAAAACACTGCAGACTGGGAGACTGGGTGGCTTAAAAAACAGAAATTTATTTTCTCACAGTTCTCGAGACTAGAAACCTAAGACAAGGTTCTGGCCCACTAGGTTTCTGGTGAGGACTTTCTTCCCGGCCGGCAGATGGTGCCTCCTTGCTGAGTCCTCACGTGGCCCTTCCTCATGCAAGCACACAGGGAGGAAGGGAGCAAGTCAGTGAGCTCTCTGGTCTCTACCTCTCAGGACACTAATCCTGTTGTATCAGGTCCCCACCCTTATGGCCTCGTTTAACCTTAATTACTGTCTGAGAAGCCCCTTCTCCAAATAGATCCGGAGGGTTAGGGCTGCAACATAAGAATTTTGGGAGGACACAAACATTTAGTCCATAATCTGTGATACTGTTAGAAGCAAGAAGCCACATATCTGAGGTACAGATTGAGGATGGCAAGAGGTAATCTCCCCAGAGGAGGCCTGGTCGTTGTTGAAGACAGCCAAGAGTGGGTGAGTTTGGTGCCAATCTGGGTGCTTCTGTAATTAGAAGATACTAATTATACTGACCCATTACTATTTATCTGTTCTAATCTTTCAGTGGTTACAAGGTTTTCCCAGTAGGAAAAAAGGGCAATATACCTGCTTTTCTTTCTTTTTGGATTTTAAGCCTGGGACCTCTTTGGGTCATGATATATACATTTAGATTCTGTCAGCATGTGTAGCAATATCCCAGAAAGGACTAGTGTTTTATGTTCTTTTAACTCTTGGTTT